TCATTTAATCTGCAGCTCAAACCATCAGGACGAACTGCAGTGATTTCTGAGTCCCAGTAACTCTTCTGATTCACACTTGCTTTGGAGTTAGATGTATTCTCACCAAGTCTTGTTTCCTGAGACTGAACTCTGTGAACATGAAGCTGCTCCGGCTTCACTGCAGCAGCTTTCAGCTCAGCCTGCTGGGACACGGAGGAGGCCAGAAAACATCACAGATGTCGCCTGAGACTCAGAAGCCTCGCCTCAGACCCGCGGCTGCTGCTTTTTAAACACAAAGAGGTGAAACGTGAGAGTTTGTTCCCAGAAATCAGCTTCTGTTTCTTCCCTTCTGTCACTCTGGCCTCCATCTCTGATGCTCGGCCCGCCCCCAACCACAGCAGGCGGGCTGCGATTGGTCCAATCCGTTCGCAAGAGGCGGGAAGATTGAGCCAATGAGGAGTTGCAAACACTGAGCGAAAGGCGTGAGAGCCAATGAGCGTCGGGGAGGCAGCGGGAGGGCGGGGCTGCAGCGGCCGTGATGGAGAGTTGATGAACAGCTGAAATGGCAGTTAGTGTTTGAATGTAACTGTTAACAAGTTCCAGCCGCGGCCGCTCTAAACACACAAAATGGCGGCGGGGCGACTGTTTGGGGGGTTAGCCGTGAAGCTAGCGGTGCAGCAGCTCTCCACCAGACATCACGGCTCTGTGCTCCGCTTGTTACCGGCTTGATCGACACAAAGCTCCGGTAAAGTTGCGGTGCGGTTCGGTCCGACCTTCCCCCACCGCCGCTCCGCTGCTGCGCATCATCACGGCGCAGCGGGGAGCCGTCCGTCTGCAGCCCGCCGCCCTGAACCCTGGGCCGGCTGGGAGGCTGGCAGAGGCCCGGAGAGCCGCGGAGCCCCTCGTTACCACACAGACACACACAGACCTACAAGAGCAAGACAACAACCGACCCACTGCAAAGATACACACCATGATCAGAGAGCTGAGGCGACACACACACACACACACACACACACACACACACACACACACACACAGAACAGGGACAAAGACAGAAACCTGCAGAAGGACAACCGGAGCCACAAAGAGACACGAAGCAGCTGCAAAGAGACACAAAGGAGCCACAACACAAAGAGAGGGACACACAAACTACACAAAGACACAACACCAGCACAAAGACACACAAAACAACACAGTGAGTGAAGAAACAAACAAAAACACACAAAACACAGAATGGCCTCAGACAGACACACAGTGACAACAACACACAACAACACACGTGTGTAACGTGTTCACTCAAACTAACAGCAGCTCAGTGACGGAGGGTCACCTGCAGGGTCACCTGGAACACCTGGAACACCTGGATCTGGAACACCTGGATCACCTGGAACACCTGGATCACCTGGAACACCTGGATCACCTGGATCTGGATCACCTGGAACACCTGGATCACCTGGATCTGGATCACCTGGAACACCTGGACCACCTGGATCACCTGGATCACCTGGATCACCTGGACCACCTGGATCACCTGGATCACCTGGATCACCTGGATCTGAGGTGTATGTCCACCGACTGCTTCCCTGATGGAGGATCTGAGCTTCAGCTGTAAACAGAACTTGTTGCACTGACAGACTTGATCCCGGTTCTCATTTCTCTCCTCCAGGTTGTAGATCTGCAGCGTCTCGACAGAAACACTTCGATGAAAATGGTCATCAGCCTCCATCTCTGTGCTTCGTCCAGCTCGTCTCCGTCCGTCTGCATCACCTGGTGTGTGTGCGTCATTCCTGATTCTTAGGATGATGACGGGACAGGTCTGGTTTGAGTTTCTTCATGTCTGTCAGGAGCTGATCAGCATGAAATATTCAACAGATCTGATTCTGGATGACTTTAAAAAGCACACAAAATGTTCATTAAACTGTAAAAACAAAAGAATCTAAACTGTATAAAATGTTTGAAAAGTTGTTTTTTTAAAGTGCACAAAATTGAAAAAACAACATAAAATGTACAAAAACCGCGACGCAAACAGACTGTAGAGGACAAAAGTTCACGTACTGATGACAAAAAATGCACAAAGTTGTACGAACTGAACAAATGTTCTTCATGAAAAGTTCGACACCATCTGATGGACGAGACAAGAATAAAAACAAGAGTTTGGAGTTTTCCAGCGAGGAAGTAAATCTGTTTTCAGCTTTGGGATGTTTTTATGGAATATTGGACGATTTGAACAGCTGCTGAAGTGAAACCAGGTCAGAGAGAAAACCACTGATTCCTGGAGAGGTTCTGACGGTGGCTTTGGGCCGCTGAGGCCCACAGACCGCCGAACAAACATCGTGTGATGTGTTCTGTTGGAAAAGTGAATCCAATCTGAGCTTAACATTCTGACATCAGAAACACTGTGAAACTGAACCAGCAGCGCTGAGCTCCGTGGAGCAGAACAGTTCTGGTCAGGATGATCAGCATCATGACGGTTCAAATAAAACACTGAATACACGGAGCTAAAACATGAACATGTGAAAATAAACAGTGTAAACGTGTTACCTGTACGTCACAGTGGAGCAGCAGTCACAAGAATAATCTGCTGGTTCTACTGCAGGCCGACCCGGTCCATCGGGTCCATTTGGTCCATCTGGTCCATCTTAGACTGAAACACTCCATCAGCCCTCATCAGGATTTAGACACCTGAAGTTTTCTGAGAACAGAAAGTTCTGCTGCTCCACTCAGACAAACAGCACAAGTCTGGTTCTGAATGCGACCCGGTTCTGGAGCAGGAGTAAATAACAGCAGAGATGGAAGGCAGCCTGTTCTCCTGAAGCTGCTGCTGAGAAGATCTGAATGAACGAGATTCTACGAGCCGACATTTAACTTTATGAGCAACACGACGACTGAACTCTGCCGACAGCAACATGGAGCTCAGCTTCCACAGAGGAGCTCCAGAACAGCTGAGCAGAACTCGCCAAGTTAGACCATCAGGAAACGTTCTAGTCAACCTTCATGTCGACCTGGAGACACTCAGCGAGGAACCAGAGAGTTCATCCCATGAAACGAGGGACATTTAGTGGAGTACTCGAGTAAAGAAGAGTAACTGATTATAAAGTACAGGTCAGCGCTCAGAAGGTGTTTGACCTGATAAACACGGTTTGGTCCTCGTTGATCTGAATCTCTGCAGCAGACGAAGAAGTTAGTCTGGTGTCAGGATGAAGTATCCATGAATACACACTAGAGACACACAGCAGCCTGAAGTTCCCTCAGAACAAACCAGCAGAAACAAGATCAGACGTTGAAGTTCTCTGCAGGCAGAACCACAGCATGATGTCGAAAGATGTTCCACCATGTTGAATGTATCTCCAACAACTGGCTCCTCTGGTCTCTGGTTCTGAGCTGCTTCACATTAAACCACAGACTGTTTTAATTGTGACGATGAATTCATGATCAGACGTTTCCAGTCGATCAGTGATCTGACAGAATCCAAACATCTACAACATCCAGCCTTCACTTCACACCAACAGCCAGCTGACGTCAGAGCAGGAAGCAGGAAGCAGGAAGCAGGAAGTAGGAAGCAGGAAGCAGCGTTAACACATGTAAAACCCAGAACGGTGTCAGGCTGTGTCCGAAGTCACCCACTCACTCCCTGCTCCCTACATAGTGATCATTATATAATGATAATATAACTACATAGTGATGTAGTGATCACTACATAGTGATCACTACATCGCTATGTAGTGATCACTACATCGCTATGTAGTGATCACTATGTAGTGAGCACCTCGGCAAAGTATCATTTCAGACGCTACTCGAGCTGTTAATTACGGCGCTCGCTAGCCGCGATTTGTGCTGCAACAGCGTAGTACAAACACAACAAATTAACAGTTTGTTGCGTAGCTAAGAAATCAAATTAAACCCAGTTTATTGTCATTTTGCTGTACACACCAGATGAGAGCATTTCTTCAGGATCCACTAACTAAAAGCAGTTTAAATAAAGTGCTGTAGTTTGTCCAAATCACAACCGAGCGCCGCAGTTTAGCGCCGTTCACTGTCCGAGTAAAATAACATTTAACAAAACAAACGTGAATTTTCCCGCGCTCTCCTTCATCTCCATTTCCTTTCAGTGCATGACGGTCCATATTGCTGGTTAGTGACCATCGGCTGTGCGCTACTTTTTACGGTGCATTGTGGGATATTTGGAGTGACTATATAGTGGATGAAATGTCCCACTGAGAATTCAAACAACCCTACAAAATGGCGTGCGCCCTATATAGAGCACTATGTAGGCATAGGGAGGGATTCAGACACAGCTTCAGTGTCGGACGCATAAATCTGCAAAACAACAACAAACCCTGAGTGTCGCTTTGAGTTCTACCTGGAGAACCAGAACTTCACCTCTCTGAGACTGATCTGAGTTCTGGTCCTTCTTGGAGTCTCTGGCTGGATTCTGGAAGAGGTTCCTCCTGCAGACTCCATAGTTCTCCTAGAGGACTTCAACACTTCTGTGGACGGTGATGGAGAAACCTGGAGGAGGTGGTTGGGAGGAAGGGCCTGATCAGAACCAGAGTGGTGTTCTGTTATTGTGTGCTGGTCATGGATTGGTCCTAACAAACAGCATGTTGGAGCTCTTAAGTGTTCCTGGTACCAGAACACCTGAGGCCAAAGGTCGATGATGGACCTGCAGACGCATCATCAGACCTGGTGAACCCAAATGTGTTCGAGGAGTCTTTAACTCCAGCAGAGCTTCTCCTGCATCCTGGAGAAGGTCTCTGAACATGGAATCTAAGTGGACCGTGTTTAAAGCCTCAACACCTCAGGAAGGAGGCGGGGCTTAGCCCAGCCGGGGAAGATGCTAACCCGGCCAGTACCACTGTCAGGCGGTGGAACGAGAACTTTGAGGAACTCACAGGTTCTGTACTGTCATGGAACCGTGGACCAGCTCACAACCCTACAGAGCAAAGAAGGGAGTCATGGATTTAAGCAGCAGCTCCACATGTGACGGATTGTGTTCCTTAGGGAGCCCTGCAGGGGGCGCCGTAGGACCATGAGCCTCTGGACGCCAGGAAGGTCACCGCCGGGAAACAGACGAGACAAACGTTCGCATCCGGAAAGCTTTGGATCAAATGAAACGTTGCAGGTTGGTGCACGTGAGCGTTGTTTTGATGTTTAAGAAATGTTCTGTATTTTAGATGTTTTCTGAAACAGTGTCGGTTGGTTTGGACGAAACCGATGACTGATGATTAAAAGCTAACTCTGGTTTAAACTCTTAGTTTAAATGAGAAGACAAAAACCATGAAGAAGCAGAGCTGGGAGGTCTGTTCTTACTGGAAGGCTCTCAGGTGTTTCCTGTCTCAGCAGAAGTCCACTGAAGAAACGACCATTTCTACTCTGAAACTGCCAGAAAATCTCTGTCTTACACTGAAGTCGCATCATTTGAATGTTTCTGGATGGAGACAGTTTGTCAGATCGTTAAGAAACATCGTTTCTGCTTCCTTTTAATTTGTCACTGCACTAATTACCGTCCACAGCAGTCAATTAATTCCACCTCGTTATGGCTGCGTGTGCCGAAGCCTAATGGACACGAAGGTCTGAGCCCATTAGAAACATCCACACATGAAATAAACGACGAGCAGATCCAATGATTTAATCACATCACACTAATTAGACCTGCAGCCAGAGTCCATTCAGAAAACACTCGATTCTACTGTCTGCTGCCTGAGAGGCAGTGAGTGACTGGATTATTATTGAATGGATGAATCAATCAATATGCAAATTACTTCATAAACAAAAAGGCCAAAAATGAAGTAGATAAATATTTTGTAAGGTCTATACCTTACTTTGTTAAGCGCTGTGTGAAAACGTGTGTTGTACGCTGCGCTACACAAATAAAATTGAATTGGACTAAATAAGTGAATACGATCATGGATCAATGAGTGAACGCATGTATGAGGAGCAAGTTATGTGAGTGAATCAATATCAGGATGTATCAACAAGGTGGTGTGTCCCTCAACAGACTGATTAATAAGCAAAAGATGAATGAATGAATTGATTAATTAATTAATTAATCAATTCACTAATAAATGAAAGTCCGGGTCCCAGCCGGACCCGGCCTGCCGTGCAGAACTCCACTGTGTTTTCCACTGATTTTAGAACTGTGTGTTTTCTGTGTTGCCGCTGCGTCATCTCCCCTCATGTGCAGTAATCGCTGCTGTTCAACATCTCTTCACGGCTGCTGATCAATAACTTATCAGCTCTCTGGGGGAGACGCTGCCTTTGATTCTGGACCGACTGATCGGCTCCAGCAGCCTCCCGCTGATCCATCAGCTCTGTGCTTCCCTGGAACCTGCAGAGATCAAACTCTGGGCTGCTGTCAGAGCAGATCTGCTCACAAACACTCGTCATTCTCAGATCGGTGATGAGCAGGTCGATTAAAGAACATCTCAGAAACGCTTCAGTCTGGGCTGATGGGACCTGCAGCCTCAGAGAAGCTGGTGGACTCAGCCAGGCTGCAGCTTACAGCTTTATGCTAAGCTAAGCTAAGCTAAGCTAAGCTAAGCTAACTGCAGCAGAATCCAGAGAGGAAACCTGAATGTTTCTTGTAATAATCCTCGACTTTTTCTCTGATAATAGAAAGTGGTTGATGTAAATAAATGGGTTCTTTGCTGCCACTTTACAAGCTGTTTCTGTCACAACATGTAACTCTCATTTAATCTTAAAAGCTTTTTTGGATGTTGACGATGTAGAAACGGGCTGGATGTTGGTGCTGCAGCGTCGGGTTTGATGTGAACGTGTGAAGCAGCTGCTCTCAGTCACTCTGAAGTGTTTCTGTCTAAAAGGCTTTAAAGCAGGCCGGCCTCTGTCAGCCTCACATGCCGGCTGGCCTGTTTCCTCCACATTATACAGGTTTTCTCTTTTCTCTACTGCCAAGTCTTTCCATTTTCTCCCTGCCAGCTGGTCAGGGGTCTCCTGCTGCCGCCAGGCCCACAGCTCGCTTCCTTCTTCTCCAGCACCTGTTCCTATTTGGCAGAGCCGACCGGGAAGCTGAGAGCTGGAGACGAGCCATCTGCTGCCCAACGCTGCACCATTTTACCCCCAATCCCTCGTGTCTCTGCATGGATCCTGGTGATTTCTACTCTGAAACACAGGGCGCTGCTGAGAGACGAGGAAACGCTGGAATGGATCAACAAATCCCAGATTCAGCGCGGAGCTGAAGGGAAACGTGAGCGGGTTCAATCAGAGCCACGCTCATTTTACATCTCAAATGCTGAAAGATGTTTGGTGGAGTAACCAGAGCTCGTTTTGACCTGCTTCCTACAGTCACTGTTTCCATTATTTCACCTTTTATGCTTTTACCTTTTAAATCCGGAATAAGTTCTCATAAAAACATCACAGACACAAAATATACACAAGCTTCACTTCTATTAAACTTATAGACAGGTGTACGTAGTTATTTATAATATACACATAATGTACATATAACCGTACTGTATGACACATTCCTTTGTTTGTAGTAGAATGATTATTACTAGAGTATTGATTGTATACTATTGGTTTATTTGCAATGTAATATAAATAACATCATATTATTTATATTATTACATTATTATCATAAATTGATGTGTTTAATAAGATTTGTGTATAGAATATATAACATAACTATTATATAATAGACATATAGTTATATGTATATATCTTCATTTTACTGATAGTACTTTTATTATTAATTCTACATAAGACATAAACATACGTTTATGGTTTTTTAATGTCTGTAACTGCCTCAATGTGCGCCTAAATGATCATTTAAATGTCTATTTAACGGTCAAAAAGATAACACTTGAAAAAAACTACAACTCCCACAGTGAGACCGCTCTCTCTGCTGCGCATGTCCTTAACGGTGGGCGCGCGCACCCATGCGGATATAGCGGTGTAAAATGGCGGCGTGAGAATCCGGTTCAAAAACACGGAGCGGTTTCAACTGACGGAGGTTAGCGACGTTACCGAGCAGATCTGCGTCACCGGGAGCTGCCAGAAGCTCCGACTGAGGCCGAGGTTGGAATTTAGTTTCCGGAGAAGGTTCGTTGTCTTTGGTTTTCTTAGAGCTGACTGAGCCGCGGACTGAGGCTGAAGCAGGACGTTAGCTGCTAGCTGCTAACGGCCCGGCCCGGTACAGCCGTTCACCTGCCGCTAGCTCACCGGCTAGCAGCCCGAACATGGAGGTTAGAACCCTGAATAAACATGTCGGGGGCGTTTTCACTGTCCCTGTAGTTACAAGTTAACCGGTTAACCCGGTTAACTGCTGATCTAATTTAAACTTTGTTGGTGATCGGCTGTGATTGGAGGATCTGTTGTAGATACCCGGAAAGAGCAGCTCGTTAGCTCGGTGGCTAACTAGCCTCCTTCACCTGAGTTTACCTGGAACCAGTTAGCCTGGACGTTACCAGAAACCGCAGCTGAGGAGGGGTTTCCACAGGTGCGTTCATGTTTGGTCTAGAATATTCTACCACTCACCTGAAACACAGCAGCTGCTCGGTCCACCGGTGACCGGTTCCGGTGGATCTGCAGGGAAAAGACGGAACATTTAAAGAGCAGCTTGCAGCTTCCTCATGAGGTCCAGCTGTGACAGAGACGAGCCGAACCAGTTCTTGTCTTTGGATTGATTCAGACAGAAACTGAACTAGTAGTTGGATCATGAAAGCAGCTGCTGGTTCCGTTAACAGCTTCACCAGTAGAACTCAGGATCATGAGATTATCAGCAGCGACAAGAACCCGAAGCTGCTCCGAGCCACTAAATAAATGTTGATTTGGATCAACACCTGAGCCATCAGTGGATTCAGTGTGGTCCGGTGGAGCTGCAGTTATTCTGCTGTGTCCCAGCAGACTGGTGTTCTACATGAAGAGACTCTCAGAACCATCAGTCAGGTCCTTCAGGTGAAGGTTCGGTTCTGATGCAGCCAGAACCGCAGACATCAGAGTTTCCATGGAGACAGGAGCTTGTGTGTGATGTCAGTCAGAATGAGCAGCATGTGATTTATTTAGATGTGAGACGTTCTCAGGTGTGCAGCAGGACCACTGTGTGTTTGTGACGAGCTGCTCAGGTGAGGCGGCTCTCCTGATTGGCTGCTGTGTGTTCCAGGCAGGATGGCGAAGCGGATCGCTGATAAAGAGCTGACGGACAGGAACTGGGATCAGGAGGAGGAAGGAGAGGAGGTGAGTCCTCAGAGGTGCACTGATGTAACTGATGACAGGAAGCTGACCCTCTGACCTTCTGACCTTCTGACTGCTGTCGTCTTCAGGCAGGAACCTTCTCAGTGGCAAGTGAAGACGTGCTGAAGAATCGAGCCATCAAGAAGGCGAAGCGCCGAAACACTGGATCTGAGGTGAGGCGAGCAGCTTCCTGCTCCTCAGAGCTTCAGAGAACTTAGTCTGTGCTGGTGAGCTGATGTTTGGGTGTCTGATCGTTCCAGAACGAGGCCGGAGGAGCTTTCAAAGGGTTTAAAGGCTTCTCTTTGGCGGCGGCCTCGGCGGCGGCGGCGGCCAGCGGAGCCTCGACTCCGACAGTGTTTTCTGGATTTGGTAACGGAGGAGGCTTCAAAGGCCTCGGAGGTCTGACCAATGGAAGCACCGCGCCATTTGGAGGCTTCTCATCCTCTACTGGACCTGGTGAGAAAACAGATCCGAGCTCCACACAGCAGGTCACATCACTGGTACACAGACCAGAACCGGACAGGCTTCACGGTCCTGGTCAAGCTGCTCTCCTGGATTGAGCGTTTTACTGCTGCTGTGACCAACACGGTTCACTGGACCAGAGGTAGAGCATCCATGGAGAAGTTCAGAGCAGAGCAAACCTGATTGGTTTAGATGTTTGAGGACAATAATCGAGGTTTTTCTAGAAAAACATTGTATGAGGGCGCACACCGTGTCGGGGGGGTGACCCGATCATACATGTACACTACAGCTCCTGGACAACGGCTGTTTCCAGCTGATCCGGACCCAGTTTGACTAGCTGCCGGAGAGGATCGGTATCGCATTATGCGCCATGTGCGTAACACGTGATTAGCGCGGCTAGTATCGCGTCATTCGCGCGAATAAGTCGCTCAATTCGCGCTAATCGCGCCGCGGGACGTTTACTGGCGTCCAATCGCGTCTTCACATGGACTTCACATGTCGATCATTGGTGTGAACACAGGCTTCAAGCAGCATGTTGGTACGAGGCGCAGCGCCGCCACCGTGTTTAGACAAACCTCTGATAATGACACCGCAGATGTAAAGCGGTTTCTGATTGGCTGGTTACTCTGACAAACACTGAGGATCCAGAAGAACTCACTTCTGAGGTCCGCTGCTGCCTCTGATCAGTACCGTCTATATTTGTTATTGTGACGTCAGCGTGAAGGCCAGAGCAGCCACTTCCTGTCCCTCCATCAGGACTGAGAGCTCATCAGTAGAACACAGTGCTGGTAGAACTTCTGTAGGTTCTCCTGTTGAGGCTCAGCGAGCAGCAGCTGGTGTAGTTACTGACGGTTCCTCTGGGATCGGACCCAGACGTCTCATCAAACACTCTGGAGCACATCATGAGCTCGCTGTGACGCTGTTCTGTGTCCGTGTTTCACCGCTCCAGCTGCTCCTTAAAGTCGGGTCAGAACTTCAGCTGCTTCGGTACCGGCTGCTGTCCTGTCTCATGTGTGTTTGTGATGCAGAGCAGCAGTTTGGTTTCTGTCTGACTGACTTAAAGGTTCTGACCCAATAACTCACTCAGCTGCTCTGGTTCTGTTTCCTGGAATGAAGCTGAAAGCCTGCAGAGGTTTTTGTGTGTGTGTGTGTAGTTGTGTGTGTACCTGTGTATAACAGCAGCTCGTCCTCTCAGGTGTGACGTTTAACGGTCCGTCCTCCATGACGCCCCCCGGTGACATCAGCGCCAAGCAGACGAATGGCTCCGCCCCCGGCCCGGCCCATAAGGAGTACAGCCGGCAGCTGACGGCGCTGAACTGCTCGGTGAGGGACTGGATCACCAAACACGTCAACGACAACCCTCTGTGCGACCTCAACCCCATCTTCAGGGACTATGAGCGCCACCTGTCCAGCATTGAGCGTCAGTACGGCGCCGGAGGTTCTGACGGAGGTTCTGACGGTTCTGAGGAGAAGCAGCGTCCGGCTTCTCCTCCTCGTCCTGCTCCATCCAGCGGCTCTGCGACTCCGACCGCGGCTCTGTTCTCCTTCAGTAAGACCCCAGCAGAAGACCCGGCCCGGGAGAAAAGCTCCAGTACCACCCCGGTTCCGGCCGGCATCACCTTTAACTTCGGTCAGAAGGTGGACAGTTCGGTTCTGAGCTCGTTGGGGAACAAAGCGTCGACTCCCAGCTTCTCCTTCTCCTCCTCCGGAGCCTCCACTCAGAACTCCCTGTTCGGTTCTGCTGCTTCGTTCAGCGGGTCGAAGCCCGACGACGGCCAGCCGGCAGGTCAGACCCGTTTGTTATTATTATTATTATTATGATGACTTTTGTTACTTCTACTGATGGAAGCAGCTGATGATCAATAGTCGGATCAGAACCATCAGTTAAACAGATTCATTGGTTCTGCGGTAGTTTATAAACGGGTCCATCAGACGGACAGGACACGGCACCGCCTCTGTCTCGTTAGGTATCAGGTAGAAGCAGAGAAACCGGTCCTGGACTAGATGTTCTGGTTGACTCGTCCAGAACCAGACTGCTGCCGGGTGTCTTTTGTACCCGACAGTTTTAAACTCATAGAAAATGAATTTAGCGTCGTAGAAGTTAAACAGAACCGACTGAAGGTCCGATTACAGAAAGCTTCTTGTCTTTGTGCAGAAGAGAACGCAGACGAGGAGTCGGAGGAGCCGCCGAAGCCCGAGATCAAGGAGGTGAAGGAGGACGACGCCTTCTACTCCAAGAAGTACGTCTGAGCTCCCACAGGTTCTGTCATGTAGAGTCCAGTGGACGGACGGCTGGTTCAGGGGGAACCAGAGGTCCGTTGTCTGATTGTGAACCTTCTGATCCTTCAGGTGTAAGATGTTCTACAAGAAGGAGTCCGAGTTCAAGGAGAAGGGAGTCGGGACGCTGCACCTCAAACAGACGACGGACGGAAAAACTCAGATGATCATTCGGGCCGACACCAACCTCGGTAAAAACCAGCACCGAGCCACAGAACCAGAACAGAACCAGACTCAGGTTTAATGTGGAGCTGTCTGGAGGTTTAAGCAGCAGAAAGGATTTAATCAGGAGTCCACCAGTGCCGGGCCTCAGGTTCTGGGAGAAACTGTCAAATGTTGTCAGACCTCTGATTGGGTGAAAATGATTGATCAGATTGATTACTGATATTGGAGCTCCAGGGTTCAGACGTTTGTCCAGCAGACCGGTTCTGCTGTGGTCATAGAGCACCACCTGCTGGACAAACACCGGACCTGCAGCAGTCGAGGTTCTGAATCAGGCAGCTGGTCGTTTAAATGATTAAAGAAATTAGAAATAAGCCTCCAGAACCTCCTCAGAACCACTGGTTCTGTGTCTGCAGCACCTTCATCTACTGACCAGAGTTCTACCTTCAGACTGTGAATGTTCCAGAGGTCCAGGTCCACAGAGGAGGGTCCAGATTGATCACTAACCCGAACCCTGAGCCTCAGAACTTCATCAGTACAGCAGATAGACACATGACATTTAGGAGGAAGAACACATCTGGGTCCTGGTAGAACCTGATGCCAGATCAGTTCTTTATTCGGTCTGAACACTGGACCTGGTTCTGTTCATGCTCTCTGTCAGCAGCTGGTAGCATCAGTATTATGGGATGTCTGACCTGAGCCTCACCTGTCCTCCAGGTAACATCCTGCTGAACATCATGGTCCACTCCTCCATGCCCTGCTCTCGGGTCGGGAAGAACAACGTGATGGTGGTCTGCGTTCCAAACCCGCCGGTCGATGACCAGAACCCCAGCAGCCCGGTGCCACTGCTGATCCGGGTCAAGACCTCCGAGGACGCCGACGAGCTGCACAAGACTCTGGAGGAGAAGAAGGGCTGAAGGAGAACCGCCTGGAGCTCCGGAGCTTTCAGCAGAACCATGGTCCTCCTCCGAGCCTCAGAACCTCCACTCATAGACTCATCAGCACACACACACACACACACACACACACACACACACAGAAACACCCCCATGGACCGGTCCAGCACCTGGTCCGTGTCCAGACCCAGACTGGTCTCCAGTCTGTACCACTCAGACTGATGCCTCCACCTCCTGGTTATACACAGTCAGAAACTCCTAGAGCGGCTCGTCAGCGCCCCCTGGTCACACACACAGTAACACACCCAGTACCCTGTCCTCTGTCGTCTGGTCGTCCCGGTCCCGTAGACCCGCTCCAGCTGTGAATCTGTGTTTTATGCAGCAGCCTGTTCTGCTCTTTTAATCTGGCCGAGGCGTGATCGGGTCAACCTGCCACGTCTCGACGCTCTTCTGTGGTTTTTGGGGACTCGAGCCTCGAACGAAGGGCCCGTCGTCGATTTGGTTTTACAAATGAAAGCCGGTTGGTTTGTGCTGAGTGAGGAAATATTTATTGTGTTTGCAGGATTTCTGCTCGAGCGAATGTTTCCTGCTTCTGTTGTTTCAAGTGTCCTTTGTGTGGCCTTCGAGATGCTGTCATCGTCTGAGAACGTTTGTAAAGACATTTGTTGGAGAATAAAGGAAACAAACCACCTTACGTCTGTCTGTTTGGCTTCCGGCGGCTCAGGCAGCATGTGGTGATGCTGTCTGAGCCGCAAAGCATTCTGGGAGTGATCCTGGAAAATGTTCTGAAAACACATTCGGTTGGTTTCAGGGCCAGTAGGGTGATGGGGGCGGAGCCTGTCAGAGGCAGCTGACTGGTCACATGACTCTGGAACCAACCAGGATGTAGAGCAGCACAGTGGCTGTACTGTTGCCATGGTTACCGTCTCTGCGTTCCTGTTGGTCACACACAGGAAGTGGTAGTAAACTGTTGAGTGGTTTCCGTCACTGTTAACCAGAGACCATCAGACAGGTGATCAGCTAATCAACTAATCAATCATCAGTTTGAGCAGCTTCAATAGAACCCGTCTGCGTTCTGTGATCCATCTGTAGAACCCGTTCTGGTCAGTAACTGAAGATCTCTGGAGGAAACTGATGGATTCATCCAGAACCAAGCGTTGCCGGTTCCCCTCAGACATAATGACCCGTTACTGCAGCCTGTGTTTGTGTTGGAACAGAACAACTCATTTCACTGCCAAACCAGAGTCCAGCGGTCCTGGAGACAACCTGGAACAGTCTGAAGATGAGAGGAAACGTTTGAATCTGGTTTAATGAGCTGAAGAACCTTCCCCTGTCTGGGTTCTGGAGAAACACCCGGACTTACTGGACCCTCACCTGCTGGTTCTACCCTGAAGATGTGGAGTTGGACCTGATGGAGTGAGACGTGACACGGGGTTCTGCTAATGTGTATTCAATAAATAAGAAGTACAGAAGCAACAGAAGAAGAACATGCACAGGAACGTGAGGAACAGCTTCAGAAGGTCTAAAAGCGTTTCACAGTTTCACAAACTGCCGGTTATCAAAGTCTGCTATTGGTCAGCGTGGATACATTCAGCTGGAGGCTCTAGAAACTACGTCATCAATAACACGGAGAACCGGAGGAACCTGTGGAGACGTCGCTGCTGCAGAACAAAGAAAACACTTTGATCGACGATGGCTTCATCTGAGTGCAAATCAATCACTGATAATATCTGATCAATAACAGCAGCAGCTGGCTGACGTCCTGCCCAGAGTCCACATCAGTCAGTCAGTCGGTCAGTCCTGGAAACACAAACACCAGGGCCTGAAGTCAGATCTAAACCCCGACAGAAGCTCAGCTGGTGTCGGTGCTTCCAGCCAGTCGAGACGAGCTGAAGGTGAAGAGAACCAGGAGTCGGTTTAAGGCTTCAGGAGGACCAACCCGGAGTCAGATGCTTCACGTGGTTCCTCTCAGCGTCCCGTCAGCAGCGTTCAAGTCTTTCCAGTTGGAGCTAAAGCAGTAAAAAGTCAAAGCTGGGTTTGTGTGACGTCTCTTTGTTCTGTTCGTGGTTCAGTCGCTGAAAGTCGACCGTTTGTTCACGTTGTGTCGAAATCCTGAAATACTCAAAGTGGAACTAAAGGATTCACTGGAAACGGCTCATCAATAACCAGACTGATTAGCTGATCGGCTTCTGTTAGACTGGATCAAATCCTATAAATCACAAAGAAAAGCAGAACTGTGAGAACGGACTGGAGGGTCTGAACACGACTCGTCCACCAGAACCGGACCGGCGGCTTGAGTCCAGGCAGTTGGTTTCTTTGTGCTCCGTTCTGCTGCGTCGGCCTTCAGACTAATCAGGAGAACGTCAGTAATTAATGTCCAGATGCTGTTTGACCAGAACCAAGGTCCGACCTCAGCCCTCCTTCTCTTTAATCCAACATTTGTGCAAAAGTCATTCTGATGGAGAATTTAGAAGATTCAGACAATAAACGTGCACTTTGACAAGTTTGTCATCTTTTCACTGCTTTTTGGTAACAAACATAATTTATTGTAACGTCCAGAGAACGTTACCGGAGCGAAGGCTCTCATGAAGCTACACGTTCATTCTAAATTCTTCCTCCCTCAGTCTCACCACAGCATCTCAAATGCAATTAAAAAAGAATAATAATTGTACTTTTACAATTGTGAGTTGTTCCTTTTGTCATTTGTTAAACCTGCTTTTGTGCCAGAACGTTCAGAGTTCATCAACAGGTGGATGAACTCTGACACTTTATTCTCCTAATATTCTGAATTCTTCCTCAGAATGACTTTATCTCATCACAGAACTTTAATCTCAAATGCAATTTGAAGAAAACCGTAATGTAGTTTTATAAATACGAATGTTGGACCTTGTTCTCAAAAAAATTCAAACTTTTCTTGAAAGTAAAAATCTGTGCCAAGACGTAAAGTTCTACGATTAAAGTCGAATTCACCATCTAGTGAGAAGAAAACAGCATTTACAAGCATCGCTAGTGTTTACCCTCTGAGTGCCGGTTAGTGGATCGCTGTGAGTAACAGAACCGGTCCGTCTGTAGAACGAAGCCGTAACAGAAGCTCCTCCGACCGCTGCGGTTCTGAAGTCCCGTCTTTAAAGCACAACCTTCCGTCAAGGCGTCTCAGTGAGTAAAGCAGCACATATTTACAGACACACATTCTGCACTTCCCTCTACTTCCTGGTCAGAGTTCAGCCAATGCCTGTTCACACTGAGGTCATGTGATCCTGACGCCGGCCCGTTTCCACGGAGACGACCCGGGACACGGCAGGAACCGAAAGAAGAGGAGGCACTTCCTGAATGGCTGGTTGGTTTCTGCGTCTCGGTCGCCTCCCGCCAGCGTCTCCAGGTGCAGCAGGTGTTTGGTCGGCGGTCACCGGGGGGCGCTGCTGCCTCAGTGGCCTGATGAGGAGGCACTTGGAGTGATGCTCTGAGGGACGACGGCCGCTATGTCATCAGGATGGGCTTCTGCCTCACCTCCAGGATGTCTGCAACAGGTAGGCTCAGTCAGCAGCAGGCGGGTGGAGGGGCCTGGGCCCCGACCGAAGCCTGGGCCTGGGCCTAAACCTGCGCCTAAACCTGGGCCGGGACCTAAACCTGGGCCTA